GGTAAGAGCTATGCACGTCTACTCAAATTTGCTCAAGTGTTTTCACAGTTAATCTTCTTATTTGAACTCTAACACGTCCTCTTACAAGCCATCCAGAAATAGCATCTTGTGATGGACCAGATTTATAACCTTCGGCAAAAGGTGACTGATGCCACCAATCAGGTCAAGCATCTGGAAACCGAGTTGGGGAGGTCCAAGGCTTTGTTGGAGATGGCCAACGCGGACAACTCCAAATTACTCGGCCAACTTGGATCCGCCAAGAAGGAAAGAGACGCTCTCCGGACCGAGCTGGAAGCGTTAAAGCAATCTAGGAAAGATGAAGTTGGCGCGGCGCACAATCTCGGTTTCAAGGAGGCCGAAGACAACTATACCAAGCAGGTCGAGGCCACCAAAGACATATTCTTTAAGTCCGGTTGGAAGGTTGCTTGTGAACAGCTCGGCCAAGGATCTAGAACCGAAGTGTTTGTCTCTCCCTCCGCTGCCTTCCTGCCGGCCTACATGGTGCCATACGCGAACAAAGTCTTCAATGCGCTGCAAGAAGAGGCCGAGGAAGAGGTCGGACATGTTGCCAAGGAGGATATCGAGGAAAAAGGCCGCTTAAAGGAGACCGGCCAAATGGAGTCCGGTGTAAGAGAAATTTCCTCCACGGTTCCACGGTTGATCTTGTGGCTGCCACGGAGGGGGCCAGGGACAATTTCGCTGATCTCTCCCCCTTGGTTTAGTCGAAGTAGTTGTTTTTTTATATATATATATATATGTAACCAGGCTACTTGCCCCACCATATGTACTACATTTCTTCATTAATGAAAAGTTTGCATTTCGTTTATATTTCTGCTAATGTCCGCTGTTGTTCATCTTGCAACTGCACTATTTCTGCCCGGCATGTTACAGACTGATAGAGCTGAGAAAATTACCTCGTTCTTAAAAAATGATATATTTTTAGCGCTGTGTAAACAAAGTCATCAATGCATATAGCCGAGATAAACATCTCGGTTAAAATCCCCGAATTGAATAGGTCATCAACTCTACTAGCTGAGATAAAACATCTCAGCAAAAATACTGGAGTTGAACAAATCATCAAGTCCAATGGCCAAGATAAAACATGTCGGCAAAAATACTGGAGTTGAACAAATCATCAACTCCAATGGCCGAGATAAAACATGTCGGCAAAAATACTGGAGTTGAACAAATCATCAACTCCACTGGCCGAGATAAAGCACCTCGGCTGTAAAGGTGGTTGCCCCTGGTGCACTACGGTTCCTCAATTACAACATACTTTCTATGTAAAATAATTCATTTCTATTACCTATTGCAATCATGGATTCATATAATGACTGAGAGGATTACATTGGTAGATAGAGGGGAAAACTTGCCCCTTTACAAAAAATTACACACAAAAGACAAAGACTAAAAATAATACAACTTGAGATTGGCCGCATTCCATGGTCGGGGTACACTTTTGCCATCCAATCCTCTAGGTGGTATACCCCTTTGCCCGCCAGATTGATTATCCTGTAGGGCCCTTCCCAGTTTGGCCCTAGCTTGCCTTCACCCAGCACCAATGTATTGCCCATCACCTTCCTTAAAACCCAGTCCTCGATTTTAAACGGTCTAGGGTGCACTGTTTTGTTATACTTTCTGGACAATTCTTGTTGATATGCGGCCACGTGGATTAACGCATTTTCTCGGCGTTCGTCGGCTAAGTCTAATTCTAGGGCGATGGCTTCACAATTCAACTCAGACTCAAAATTTTCCCTGTGGATGGTGGGCATGCCGATCTCCATTGGAATAACCGCCTCCATGCCATATGCCAGAGCAAAAAGAGTCTCCCCGGTTGAGCGCCTCGGGGTTGTCTGATATGCCCAGAGGACACTAGGAAGTTCCTCGGCCCATTTGCCTTTGGCTTTCTCCAACCTCTTCTTTAGCCCATCTAGAATAGTCTTGTTCGATGCTTCAGCTTGGCCGTTGGACTGCGGGTAGGCTGAGGTGGAATTATAGAATTCTATCTTCAATTCCACACAAAATCCTCTAAATAGCCGTCAGTCAAATTGGGTGCAATTATCAGAAATCAAAGCCTTGGGGACGCCAAACCGAGTTATCACGTTCTGCCAAACAAATCGTTTAACGTTCTTTTCTTTGATGGTCGCTAAGGGCTCGGCTTCAACCTACTTGGTGAAGTAATCTGTTGCCGCAATGAAAAACTTCTGGTTGCCTAGCGCTGTCGGGAGTGGTCCCACTATGTCTAGCCCCCACATTACGAAAGGCCAAGGACTTATGAGGGGGGGAAGTTCTCTAGCCGGTTGGTGAATTTGGTGGGTGAATTTTTGGCATTTTTTGCATTTCTAACATATTTCGGCGTATCCGCTTGCATGCATGGCTACCAGTATCCTTGCAAAATATCGCAGTAGTCTAAAGATCTTCCCCCAATGTGACTTCCGCACATGCTTTCGTGGATCTCGTAGAGGAAAGCTTCCACGCTGTTTGGATGAACACACTTGAGATACGGACCGGTGAATGACTTCTTATACAAAGCACCATATGGAGAGAGCCAAAACCGCTCTGACTTTACCTAGATTTTATGTGCTTCCTTTTTGTCGGCCGGAAGGGTCCATTCTTTCAGGAAAATGATGATAGGGTCCATTCAAGAAGGACCAAGCTCGGTGCAAAATACTTTTGTCTGCTCCGAGTCCTCAATGTTAGGTCTTGGGAGGAACTCAATCAGGAGAGGACTGGGAGTTGATCTGTCGAACATAGAAGCTAAGCTGACTAACTCATCCGCTCGGCCGTTTTCTTCATGACCAATTTGTTGGACCCTTATTGCTTGGAATTCTTTGATGTGTTCTCTCACTAGAGCTTGGTATTTGGCCATTCTGTCATCTTTGGCTTCATACACTCCAAACACTTGGTTTACAATGAGTTGAGAGTCGCTGTAGACCATCATCTTGGATGCGTGCAATTGGAGCGTGCTTTTAAGTCCGGCCAGCAGTGCTTCGTACTTAGCCTCGTTGTTTGACCGTCCGGCGAGATCAAAACTATGTCCAGCCCGGCGCCGTGCCGATTTGAGGCGTCATCTACAAAAAGTTTCCACATTTCACCAATGAAAAGTTTCCAACATTCTAAGGGATCCTAGGAGGCTTGAAGGTTGAGGAGATCACGGTCGCTTGGTTGCTCGACTATTTCTGCTACAAGCTGGCCGTTGACGATTTCAACAGACACGTCTTCATCCCCCTTCGGCGATGCGACGCCAGACCCAACAGATTGACCTGTTATTTCCAAATCAATCGTCACATTGCCGGGCTGAAGTACACCTCTGACTGAAGGATTTGTGGATGGGCGCGCAAGTTTCGCGTCGCCAACATCACTTTGTTATGTAATTTCCGTTGCGCTTACATCCTTCACCCCGGCTGCCGCGATAAGATCCACCGGGCATACCGGGTGAATTCCAGGCGAGAATTCAGCAACAAAGTTGGCCAATGCTTGGGCTTTTATGGCGGTTCGGGGTTGAAACTTGACGTCGAATTGTCCCAATTCGACTGCCCATTTCAGAATTTGGCCAGAGAAACCCGCCCGCTCAAATAAGGCTTTCAGAGGGAATTCGGTCAACACCACGATTGTGTAAGCATGAAAGTAGTGCGCCAATTTCCTAGAGGCCATCATTAGCGCCAAAGAAAGTTTTTCTAGCGGCAAATACCTCGATTCTGCAGGTAGCAAGGTTTTGCTCACGTAAAAAATCGGGAGATGTTGGATGTCTTCTGCCCGGACAAGCACCGCACTAACTGCATGTTGAGAAAACAGCCAAATAAATGTAGAGTTCTTCGCTGAGCTTGGGTGTCACCAAGAGTGGGTGCGGAAGACAAATACGTCTTAAGCTCGGCCAAGGCCCCGTCACATTCTTCGTCCCATGAAAACTTGGACTTCAAGGCTCGAAAGAAAGGGCGGCAACGATCTGATGACCGGCTAATGAATCGGTCAAGCGCAGCTGCCATACCGGTAAGATGTTGCACGTCCTTTGTCGAGTTGGGCTGCTTCAATTCTTGTATGGCTCTGATTTGTGAGGGGTCCGCCTCGATGCCTTGGTTGGTGACTAGGAAGCCCAGGAATTTCCTTGACCCCACGCTGAAGGCACACTTTGATGCATTCAGGCGAAGCTTGTGTTGTTTAAGAATGGAGAACATCTCGGCCAGATCGGACAAGTGGTCGGCCTACAACTTGCTTTTGACCACCATTTCATCGATGTAAGCCTCCATCGTACGGCCTAGCAAAGGGGTGAACATCTTGGTTACCATCCTCTGGAAAGTTGCCCCCGGCGTTTTTCAAACCAAAAGGCATGACTCTATAGCAGAACAATCCCCTCGGGGTCGTGAAAGAGGTTATCTCGCGATCGGGTGATAACCGCGATAGGCATCTAAGAAACTGAGCCGGTTGTGTTCGGTTGTAAGATCCACTAGCTAGTCTATTCTGGGCAGTGAAAAACTATCTTTAAGGCAAGCTCGATTGACCGTCTTGTAATCAACGCAAAATTGCCACTTTCTATTTTTCTTGGATACTACGACCGTGTTCGAAAACCACCGACGGTAGTGCACTTCCTAGATTGCCCTAGTTTCGAGCAGGTTCTTGACTTCCTCTGCAATTACCTCGGCGTGATGAAGAGTTGATCTCCTCATTCTTTGAATGACCGGACGAGCGTCCGGGAAGACATTGAGTTGGTGGCAAATAAAGCTGGGATCAATGCCTGGCATGTCGTATGCCGTCCATGCAAATACTTCGATGTTCGCCACTAAGAACTCCACCATCTCGGTCCTTTTTTGGGCGGTCAGGCTAGATCCCAGCAAAAAGAACTTGTCAGGATTCTCTGTGCCGATCCGCACCTCCACCAACTCTTCAACAGCCTTCTCCTCGGCCCTAGTGCCCACATCATCTAGGACATTTTGGTCTTCCAGACCTTCAATCATTTGCACGAAGCCTTTGGCTGCTCGGCTTCCATTCATTGCCACGAAACACTACTTCGCCATGACTTGATCACCCCAAGTCTCCTCAACTTCCCCCGTAGCTGAGGAGAACCTCATAACCTGGTGGTAGGTCGACGCCACCGCCTGCATGGCGTGAAACAATCCCCTACCAAGGGTCAAATTGTATGTCGACGGCACCTTCAACACCCAGAATTCCACCTGCTTGACTATAGATTCGGCTTTAACCGACAGGATTATCTTTCTCATTGGCCACTCCGGTTGTGAGTTAAAACCAACCAGTGGTGAAGTTGCTGGAACCAAGTCCGTATCTCGAAGTTTGAGCTGCTTGAAGGCGTCGTAATATATGATCTCGACCGAGCTGCCTTGGTCGATCAAGATGTGCTTAACATCGAAGTCCCTGACGTGAAAGGTGACCACTAGGGTGTCATTATGCGGCATTTGAATGCGCTCAAGATCCCTACTTAAGAAGCTAAGCACATTTTTCTCTTCGGTCTTGCCTCTCTTGATCGCTGGTTGGACTGACAAAACTTCCTTCATATGTTCCGCTTTTTTGATCATCCATCGGAGCTCGCATACCCGTGCCGGCTCTACTATACTGTGGATCACGTTGACCACTCCTTGGGGGGGTGCCTCTAGGTTGTCCAAACCACTTGATGCCCCCATCGATGTAACGATCCAAGTGACCGGCGGCGACTAACACCTCCAAGTGTTGTTTCAGGGGTAAGCAGTCATCCGTTCGGTGTCCTTGCTCCTTATGAAATGTGCAACAGTACCACGGATTGAAGCCCTTTTGCCCGTCGCCTAATTTAGCAGGAAACCGGACGTAAACCTCGTTGCGGATTTCACTGAGTATGCGATAGATTGAAATCTTAAAAATCGTGGTGATGCCCGTCCGAGCGTTTAACTTTCTGTGTGCATCTGCTGCCTCATCGCAAGGATAATCTGTTCGGTCGTTGCGACGACTTTTACCCCGGTTCCTACAATTCGGACCGCAGTCTGATTCCCTTGCGCAATCATGTGGATGATTTGTCTCCTGTCCGACCGCGTGGACTTTTCCAGCCACCCTCTTGTCTGTTGCCACCTGATTTGTCTTCGCGGTGGACGCCGTCGCATCGTCCTCTACACGGATGTGCTCATTGATGCGCTGCATCAATAGCTCCATGGAAATCGGTTGGTTGATTGGGTGATTGTCAATCAGTCTATGTCCGACCGGGAGACCGTACTTATATTAGGTGATTTCCAAGTTAGTCGGGCAATCTAGGATCTCGTTGAATGTTTCCCAATACCTAGAATTGTACGCTTTGAGGGAGTCGCCTGACTCCATCTTGACGCTTAGGAGGTGGTCAACTTCCTTTGGCGTTTTAGTGTTGGTTTTGAATCGAATCACGAATACTTCTGCCAACTGTTGCCACCTTTCGACGTTTTCCTCCAGAAGCCTCTCAAACCACTTCAAGCCCAACTCGCCCAAACTCGACGGGAAAATAAGACACATGAGAGCATCATTACGCTTGTATCCAGCCATAACCTACCGGAAGTGGCTTACATACATGTACGGATCGGTTTTTCCGTCATAAAGCGTAAATTTGGGTTGGTGAAAGCCCGCTGGGAGTGGTGTGGTCTCTAACTCAAGGGAGAAGGGGGTGGCGCTCAGCCTTGCTAAATCTTTGTCCAAAAGGACAAGCACGACTGTGCGGGCGGCAACATTATGACTTCTTCACTAGCGCGACCTCCGTAGGATAACCGCTGGAGCGCCGGCACCCTTTGAGCCTCCCATCGGTGCGCTCGTTCTTTCAAGACGTCCGTTAAGTCCTCCGAACGGGCGGAGTAGGAATATCTCGATGTCGTCGGCGGACATAAGGGATGGTAACTACTATCTTACGCGCAAGATTTCTCTGTAGGCTGGTCTGAGTCTCCAACCCCATAGCTTCTGGTGATAAAAAGGGAGGGCGTGTGCCACTGGTTCTAGCTGCCTGAGCGGGGGGGTTGCGTGCGCTCACTGTGGTCACCCACTCCAGTAACACCCTTCCCTTTGACTTGCCGTTTGAGAGCTTTCATCCCTGCTACCATTCTCTGGATGACGGCGTCTTGGTCCCTCAACTTGTGCTCCAGACGTTGAGCGTGCAACTCTCTTCGCTGCCGGTGTCCATCTGGACTCCGCGAGTGACCAATGCTCCTGGCGTGCTTATCTCGCGCATCTCTGGGAAGTCCTCCTGGTGAGGTCTCCAAGCCCGCCATGTTCAGAATGGCGGGAAGTCCGTTTCTCCATCGAACTGACCCTGGGGTAATACCGTCGATGGCAAACAATGGTATTTCGTCATTGTTTGCCATGAAAGGTGATCCAATGAGCTTGAAGAGCAAGATTGTGTCTGCTCAAGCTTCCCACAGACGGTGCCAATTGTACGGGGGCCAAATATTCGTAACCTTCCGTACTCCTCGCGTCCAAGCTACGCCTTCCTCTGATCGACCTGCGAACACAACGAAGGTGAGCTACCCGGTGGTGCGTTGCCGAAAAACCCTTCTAATGGTCAAGTCAGCACACACTCAGAGAGAGAAAAGAAAAAAGACCCTGTGTTTGTGTTTCTCTCACCAGAAGATGTCCCCTGCCTAGCATGGTGGGCGCAGTCATGTTTATATACCTTCTGAGCGCACTTTCGCGCCCATTCCTCTTGGGACGCGTGGACCTGCTCCCCTCTCACATTTTTTCACGTGTCAGCGCTAAAACAGCTAAACCCCACCTAACAAAACCGCCAAACAGAATTAGTGTACGATTCGCGGAACCTCTCTTCCGCGATATCGTGCAACTGTGCAACACTTCCAACCGGGCTACAGACAGCGCAGCCCCACAACTTGCCGACACAACCGTTCCTGTTGACCGGTTTCCATAATCGCTTCCTACCGAGCAGTACTTCGGCCGAACTCTTTAATTCTAACAACTCTCCTGCCCGATTGGAACTTGCTTGGAAGTCATGTCTCACTGAAGTGCGCCATCCCACTAGGCTAGCGGGCAAAGGTTACTCCGCCACAATCGGACTAGGGTTCTAAACCCAGGGGTCCGCTGATCACACAGACTCAGCTCGGCCCAATGAGCATGGCCCCTCTTAGCCCGACCCAAGCGAGTTTGGGCTAACCAAAGTCAGATCAAAGAATCACCCTCTCAGTACCCAAAAAATTTTAACCGGGAGTAAACCCCTTCGACCCCCTCCCCTTGGGCCCCCATTGGATCCAAATCAGGATCACAAAGACAACAGAAAGAAACCAAACTACAAAATAGGGTTATTTTGAAAAGTGCCAAATAAGTCAATTTTATTTATTTATTATGAAAAAAAAAATGATGTAACTTAAATAAATTAAAAAGTTAATAAATTGGGTTATAAATTACTTATCAAAAAGTCCATAATACAAGGTGCATAATCTGTGTCAAGTCTTCTTCGGGTTGGTTGATAATTACTACGATGGAAATAATTCAGAAATGTGCTTATTGGGTACTCCAATTCTAACTGGATAAGGATTATTTATTATGATTTATATGTAATGATCTTATTGTGTTTTTTTATAACAAAAGATAAGTACATTGATAGCTCGTATTTAAAACCAAAATAAAATGGTATTAAAATATAACATATTCTTTAAAGAGAAAATTGAAAAAATTCAATTTAAAAATAGTATAAGTCATTAGATTAAAGGTAAATTTTTATTTGATGATAAGAATATGCCTAAAAAGTCGCCAGCGTTGGAAAAGTTGTCGAAAACTTTGTCGTCTCTGCCGGTTGGCAACATCAGGTGGTGGTCGTGAAGTAAAAAAAATATGTGATATTCAACAAAGAAGTTATTGAATGAGTGACATGTGTCACATTTTCATAAATAGATAGTTTGGTGAATTTTAATAGATTAGAAAATAGACTTGGTGAATTTTAACAAAAAAATGAACTGGGTGATTTCAAAAGTACGGAGGTGATTTCAACAGATAAATAAATAGGTTGATTTTAATAGATAATTATACTTTTGAACAAATTATGTCTTTTTAGCTCAAAAGATTAGAGTTTAGACCTAATAATCCAAAAAATTAAAAAAAATAAATTTACAACCTAAACATCCATTTTTAAAATCATACATTTCAAAATGACGTGATTTTATTTTATTAAATTAGCACAACAAGATCGTTGCGAGAGATTTTTTTCTCCAAAAATATGTTTGGTTTGTATTTGTGAAACATTTTGAAAAATAATTTTTTGGAAAGATTTTCTAAAATTTAAAATTTGAGGGGGTGGGATGTAATTTCTCAAGGGAATCCGTATATTAGTCAAACATCGAGGGGGGTGTTTGGAATTTTCCCAATTTTTTTTTTTAATTTAATTTAATTTTTTTTTTTTTTTTTTTGTAGTTCGATTGAATGGATAGATGGATGTGACAGAAAAAATAATTAATCAATGTGTATTAGAGAGAAATTAATTTTGGATTTTTTAAAAAAAAAAATTTAACCAAACAAAATTTTAAAATTTTTTCTCAAATTTTTTTTCTCAAGCGACAAACCAAACCAGGCCAAACTTCATGTGTGTCAAAAAAGAAATGTACGCCCACATGCGGTCAACTTTTTTAAAACACCCAGGCCAGACCACTCCTCAGAATAGCCCAGCCCATTATGCTCTCTCTCTCTGTGTCGTTTCTGATTGAAGCTTGGGCTGCTAGAATGGATCGGGATCCTTTACCAAAATCTCTCTTGTTTTTTTTGTTTTAGGTACAACGAAAAGTAAAGTAAAATGGGCTGGGTCATCCTGAGGAGTGGTCTGGGCTGGGTGAGCTATGTTTGGCCTTGTTTGGTTTGTCTCTTGAGAAATAATTTTTGGAAAAAAATTTAAAAATTTTGTTTGGCTAAAATTTATATTAAAAAAAAAAAATTCAAAATCAATTTTCTATCTACTACACATTAATCAATTAATTTTTCTTTCAACTATCTATCCATTCAATTGAACTACCAAAAAAAAAAACAAAAAAATTAAATTAAATCATCCCAAATTCCAAAACTATTTTCAAAACAAACAAATTTTCAAATTTTGGCAACTCTTTCTAAAAAATTATTTTCCAAAATTTTTTCACAAATACAAACCAAACATGTTTTTGGAGAAAATTTCCAAAAAAATTTTGGTTGAAAATTTAAATAAAAAAAAAATTCAAAATCACTTTTCTCTCTACTATACACTAATCAATCATTTTTCTTTCTCATCTCTCATTCTCAATCACTTTTTTTCTCACATTCATCTAACTATAAAAAAATATCAAATCATCCAAACCTCCAAAATTATTTTCAAAATATACAACCAAACAAATTTTTAAATTTTTAAAATTCTCTTTAGAAAATTATTTTTAAAATAATATCTTAAAATATAAACCAAATAAGGCCAAAGTTGTTTAAATTTTTTGAATATCCAAATGATAGGGTCTTTGATCTGATTACATTTTTTAAATTCAAAATTAAATAATTAATGTACAAATAAATTTATTTTTTAATTTTACGTTAAAACATGATTAGAAATCAAATTACATGATTTCTTAAATAAATAAATAAAAAAGCCATAATGATGAGATTATATGAAATAAATAAATAAATAAATAAAAATTACATTTCAAGGTAACTGTGTATGCTTGCGCACCAAGACATGTGCTATTCAAAAATAAAAAAATAAAATTGAACGTAACAGAGAATTAGTGATGTTACAGTTTTTTTTATGATGGATGGAAAATAAATAACATATTATTATCATGCTTTTTTTTTTAGAGGAATCAATTAGCTTATTTGGTTTCGCAATTCACCTCTTAGAAAATTAAAATTTTTTATTTTTTTTATATATATTTTTTGTTTTATTGGATTTTTTATACATTTAAAAAGTATAATATTTATAAAAAATCTTTAAAAAATTTACTAAATGCTAAAAATATATGAAAATTCAGTAATTTTTATATTCTTGTGTATTTCTTGATTTTTTTAAAAATATTTTTTAAAAATATTTTACTTTTTAGATTCATTTGTGAAAAATCTTTAAAAAATTTACAAAATGCCAAAAATATATGAAAATTCAATAATTTTTATATTCTTGTGTATTTTTTAATTTTTTTAAAAATACTTTTTGTAAATATTTTACTTTTTAGATTGATTTAAGATACATT